TGCCAAAGTAATCGTGTGTATGTTTTTACTGTGGTCTACTCTCAAGTCCAGGGGGGAGTGCCCCTTGCATGAGAGCCTTCATATAAGGCCAGTTGTGGCTGCCAATAAACGTATTCCGGCTCGTACTCCCAGAACTATGTGTCGTCTGGTTACTGGGAGGGGAAAGGGCTACTCTTTAATCACTGTTCCAGAGCCCCCAGGACTGAGTGTCGTCTAGTGCCTGGGGGTGTCTAGAGTGAATTCCCCATTGGGCTCCAGGAGGGAGTGGTTCCAGGACCCCAGTCAAACCACGGCGACTGTGGACAAGAGCATTTGTCCCCTGTTAGAGCTAGGAAGCGGAAGGGAGCTCAGTTACAGCAATTTTGCTGTTAAACCATTTAAGAAGGTAAGAGGTCAGAGTGCCTCCAGGGTCTCCTGGCATCATAATAACTTAATTTAGATGAAGTTGTTTTGGTGCCTGGAGTGTCCATTTAATTCTGCATTTTATCTACAAACAGCTTACAAAAACTGCAGATATCTTGTCTGCTGCTTTTGCATTCCTCCCCTTCTAACCCTACCCAGACTTTCATTGGCTATCCAATCACAGACTTCCCAATGCAGCTCAATGAGAAGTCTTTGCAAACCAGGTGCTCTGGGCAATTGCTGCCATTTGAGTTTATCTCCACTGAGCTAAACAAACCAGGAAGTAACAGGACCAGGTGTTTGATTGACAGCCAGGGGGGAGTAACAAGGAAGGATGTAACACGCATTTATAAATTAAAATGCCAATTTCTATTGTAATTTGAATAAAAATGTGCACACACTCTTAATAAATAAAGCACTTCAGCAAGCTGAAGAGCTTTAGGGGTCTCAAGTGTCATTTTAAATTTGAAATTCACTTAAAATTCTCACTAGTTCGTAAAAATCCAATGTATGATTTATAATGATTTAATATTTAGGTTATTTCCTATTATTTAATATTAAGTGATATTCAGCCTATAATAGTATTTATAATGATATAATAATCAGTTTGTTTCCTATTATTTAATATTAAGTGATATCCAGTGTATAATAGTATTTATAATGATTTAATAATCAGTTTATTTCCTATTATTTAATATTAAGTTATATCCAGCGTATAATAGAATTTATAATGATATAATAATCAGTTTATTTCCTATTATTTAATATTAAGTGATATCCAGCGTATAATAGTATTTATAATGATTTAATAATCAGTTTATTTCCTATTATTTAATATTAAGTGATATCCAGCGTATAATAGTATTAATAATGATTTAATAATCAGTTTATTTCCTATTATTTAATATTAAGTGATATCCAGCGTATAATAGTATTTATAATGATTTAATAATCAGTTTATTTCCTATAATTTAATATTAAGTAATATTCAGCGTATAATAGTATTTATAATGAGAGGGCTACAGGTAGAGGTACAATGTTGCAATATAATACTCTTACTATGTTCAGCCGGCATTGAAGGCAGGGAATTCCACTTCACATCTGCAGGGTTACAATTCTCATGACACTCAGCCATCCCATAAGCTTGATTGGCCATCATGAAAATTGTATTTCACAAACAAGTTGTAGTTTAATAATTTAATATAATCTACAATAGCTGTTCACAAACCATTTCAGAGCATGGCCTTGAAAAACATTTGTAAACAGCAATTCCCACTAAGCTCAGACAGACGATAGTCTTGTCTGAGCATCATGTAAATGGTGGGGGACGTCACTCCTAAGTACTTGGAGCAGGACGGGGTAAAGCGAACCTTGAGGCCGTTCTTGGATTACTAAGACCCAATGTAGTCCAGGGGCCACGTGATGAAACTATTCACACTGCGAGATCTCTCTGAGGACGGGAGTTCTGCATTTAGGGCAAAGTTCTAAAAGTGGGGCAATCACCATGGAAACCAAGGAATGCTCCTGTTAATTGCTCCATAACTTAAAGAGTTTCTATGGAAACCATCGAAATGATCCGCCATGTTTTCCTGGACATCCACCATTTCTTAATGTTCAAGGTAAAACGTGTAATGTGCTGTAAATGTAGAAAACACAAGAATTCATTGTCAGTTAATCTCTTCCCTCCTGCAGCTCCTGATATATGTCCACAGAAACATGGTGGATCTGGCAACCCTTTGTCCAATCAGACGGCAGATTGTGGGGTTGCGCAGTATGATGTGTTTTAGAGAAATAAAAAATAGCCGCACAGCTGAGAGAACCCGTCTGCAACTACAGGCCAACGCTACTCTTCCCAACCCAGAGCCTGTCATTCCCGACCTAGGGATCCCAGTTTAGTAAATCTCTGGAACCACAAGCTCAAGCTGGACGAAAATGACAACAACAGTGGAGGCTCCAAGAGCTCCGCATTTACTGTGTATGAGCTGGTTGCGCAGTGTCATGGCTGCCAACATTTTTTACAAATCGCTGTGGTTTTTAGACAGTCTCAGAGCTGAGAGAATACGCAGCTTCTGGTCTTCCCTTAGAGGGAGCGTTCAATTTAAATAGACGTAGAAATAATAGTTTTATAATTCGGCCAGCTCTAACCTCACAGCAAGACACGGAGGCCAATTAGAAGAGGAAAAGCAGGTTCCATTTAATTATTTAACTTGCTTTCTTCCAGCCTTATTAAAATCGTCCGCAATAATACTACAGGAAACGTCCATCTTGCCTCTCCAAGTCTTCCTCTGTGCAAGTGGCAAGGCTTCGTACAATCTGGCTATCTGATTAGATGTGAGCGTAACGACAGATTTATTTAGCACAAGTTGCGTTGATCCTTTGTCCTTATTTGCCCCCGTAATGCAGCTGGTGGGATCTTTCTTAAATTTCTTCCTCCCTGCCCTTGTTGTCAAACCCCATCCGATTCTGAACTCTCTATAATAACTGATCTCTTAAAACGTGCTGAGATGTCGCGGTCAGAGAATATGTGTATAGTCCCCGTCAGAGGCTGCTTTGGCTATTACTAGACTGCAGTAGGTTTCATTTTAATGGATAGTTCAGTATTTGTGTAAATAAAACGTCTTTATTTCTGAACATGGGCTATCAAATCATAAATCGTCTACACTAAATACACAAACAGGATTTGTCCTCGCGTTACAGTTACAATAACCAGCATAGTGTGTAGTGATAGGAGACATTACTGGTGACAAATTCTCGGGATCAATTCATAAATACACATTGTACAGCGCTACAGAATCTGATGGCGCTATATAAATAATAAAATAATAATAATAATAAAAAAATTAGAGTGGCGTTTTCTGTGGCCAGTGTGATAGGATATCCTGAGTTTCATACATAGTTACTTAGCTACATAGTTACATAGCTGAATAGAGACTTGCGTCCATCAAGTTCAGCCTTCCTCACATATGTTTTTTGCTGTTGATCCACAAGAAGGCAAAAACCCAGTTTGAAGCATTTTCCAATTTTGCAACAAACTAGGAAAAAAATTCCTTCTTGACCCCAGAATGGCAGTCAGATTTATCCTTGGATTAAGCAGTTATTACCCTGAATTGAAAGATTATAACCGTGAATATTCTGTTTTTGCAAGTATGGATCTAGTAACTGTTTGAACATCTGTATGGACTCTGATAAAACCACTTCTTCAGGCAGAGAATTCCACATCCTGATTGTTCTTACAGTAAAAAAAAACCTTTCCTTTGCCTTAGACGAAATCTTCTTTCTTCCAGTCTAAACGCATGGCCTCGTGTCCTATGTAAAGTCCGGTTTGTGAATAGATTTCCACACAATGGTTTGTATTGGCGCAGAATATATTTGTATAATGTTATCATATCCCTTCTCAGGCGACGTGTTTCTAAACTAAATAGGTTTAAATTTGTTAACCTTTCTTCCTAGCCAATATGTTCCATTCCTTTTATTAGTTTTGTAGCTCGTCTCTGCCATTTTTCTAGTGCCATGATATCCTTCTTTAGAACAGGTGCCCAAAATTGCACAGCATATTCAAGGTGTGGTCTTACCAGCGATTTATAAAGAGGCAAAATGATATTCTCATCCCGAGAATTTATACTCCTATTTATACATGACAAAACCTTACTGGCCTTAGCCACTGCTGATTGACATTGCACATTGTTGCATAGTTTGTTGTCTATAACAATTCCCAAGTCCTTTTCGTGTGTTGTTATCCCTAATTTGCTTCCATTAAGGGTATACGTTGCTTGTGCATTCTTTACACTGAAGTGCATAACTTTGCATTTTTCAACATTAAATTTCATCTGCCATTTGAGTGCCCAGTCCCCCAGTCTATCTAAATCCCTCTGCAGCAAAGTAATATCTTGCTCACATTGTATTATTTTACAGAGTTTTGTGCCATCTGCAAACACTGAAACATGACTTTCAATGCTGTCTTCAAGATTATTTATAAATATGTTAAATAGAAGGGGTTCCAGAACAGAACCCTGAGGGACACCACTTGCCACTTCTGTCCAGCTTGAAAATTTACCATTAATGACAACTCTTTGTACTCTGTTTTTAAGCCAATGTTCTACCCAAGAACAAGCATTTTCATCTAGACCGATTTCCTTGAGTTTGAACACTAATCTATTGTGTGGAACTGTATCAAATGCCTTGGCAAAATCCAAATAGATCACATTCACTGCAACACCCTGATCTATACTTATACTACGAGACATTCTTTTAGAACGCAATCAAGTTAGTTTGACATGACCTGTGCTTCATAAAACCGTGCTGATTTTTGCTGATAACCATGTTCTTCTCAAGGAATTGCGGAATATTATCCCTTAATAGCCCTTCAAATATGTTTCCAGGCACAGAAATTAAGCTCACAGGTCTGTAATTTCCAGGAAAGGATTTTGAACCCTTATTGAATATAACCTCCCAGCAAGACACGGAAGTCAGATGTTTCGTGGGTAGCTTTCTTACACCCGTGGCAGGTGGTTGACCATGAAGAGTTTTAGTGGACAGTTAGATTACGGTTGGCTGTGGTTCCATTTGTATTATTTTTTGTTACACCAGTTTTAGCCAGTTTAACAAACAATGACTCTCTCCTGACACACCGGTCCAGTGATGTCACAGTTATTGATAGATGTATCCAGTGATGTCACGATGAGAGATATATAATACAGTCCAGTAATGTCACAGTTATGGATAGATGTGTCCATTGATGTCACGGTGAGAGATATATAATGCAGTCCAGTGATGTCACAGTTAGAGATAGATATATCTAGTGATGTCACGGTGAGAGATATATAATACAGTCCAGTGATGTCACAGTTAGGGATAGATGTATCCAGTGATGTCACGATGAGAGATATATAATACAGTCCAGTGATGTCACAGTTATTGATAGATGTATCCAGTGATGTCACGATGAGAGATATATAATACAGTCCAGTGATGTCACAGTTAGGGATAGATGTATCCAGTGATGTCACGATGAGAGATATATAATACAGTCCAGTAATGTCACAGTTATTGATAGATGTATCCAGTGATGTCACGGTGAGAGATATATAATGCAGTCCAGTGATGTCACAGTTATGGATAGATGTATCCAGTGATGTCACGGTGAGAGATATATAATACAGTCCAGTGATGTCACAGTTAGAGATAGATGTATCCAGTGATGTCACAGTGAGAGATATATAATACAGTCCAGTGATGTCACAGTTATGGATAGATGTATCCAATGATGTCACGGTGAGAGATATATAATACAGTCCAGTGATGTCACAGTTAGAGATAGATGTGTCCATTGATGTCACGGTGAGAGATATATAATGCAGTCCAGTGATGTCACAGTTATTGATAGATGTATCCAGTGATGTCACGGTGAGAGATATATAATGCAGTCCAGTGATGTCACAGTTATGGATAGATGTATCCAGTGATGTCACGGTGAGAGATATATAATACAGTCCAGTGATGTCACAGTTATTGATAGATGTATCCAGTGATGTCACGGTGAGAGATATATAATATAGTCCAGTGATGTCACAGTTATTGATAGATGTATCCAGTGATGTCACGATGAGAGATATATAATACAGTCCAGTGATGTCACAGTTAGAGATAGATGTATCCAGTGATGTCACGATGAGAGATATATAATACAGTCCAGTGATGTCACAGTTATTGATAGATATATCCAGTGATGTCACGGTGAGAGATATATAATACAGTCCAGTGATGTCACAGTTAGAGATAGATGTATCCAGTGATGTCACGGTGAGAGATATATAATACAGTCCAGTGATGTCACAGTTATGATAGATGTATCCAGTGATGTCACGGTGAGAGATATATAATACAGTCCAGTGATGTCACAGTTAGGGATAGATGTATCCAGTGATGTCACGGTGAGAGATATATAATACAGTCCAGTGATGTCACAGTTATGGATAGATGTATCCAGTGATGTCACGGTGAGAGATATATAATACAGTCCAGTGATGTCACAGTTATGGATAGATGTATCCAGTGATGTCACGGTGAGAGATATATAATACAGTCCAGTGATGTCACAGTTATGGATAGATCTATCCAGTGATGTCACGGTGAGAGATATATAATACAGTCCAGTGATGTCACAGTTATGGATAGATGTATCCAGTGATGTCACGGTGAGAGATCTATAATACAGTCCAGTGATGTCACAGTTATGGATAGATGTATCCAGTGATGTCACGGTGAGAGATAGATAATACAGTCCAGTGATGTCACAGTTATGGATAGATGTATCCAGTGATGTCACGGTGAGAGATATATAATACAGTCCAGTGATGTCACTGTTAGAGATATTGACAGACTTAATTGGTGTATCCAGAGATGTCATAGTGAAGGTTATTATATTGTAAATGAGGATTTATAACACAAAGCACAATTTAATTGAACAATAACCATAAATATAGTTATTATAGAATAGTTATGCTTAAAAATAATTGAAAATAATTAAGCTGGCTAGTGAGTTTTACAAATACAGGTCTCCCATCTGGCCCGATTATGGCAGCACAGTCCTTATTTTAGGCACCTGTTCTACGGTCCCTTTTATCTGGGGGTGCCGTGGAAATGTCCTCATGCAGCACAGCGTGAGCACATCATCACCAGGACCATGCAGATAACACTTCAGCAGCGCTCTCTGCATGGCCTGCTGTGTGTGACACAATCTCTGGAGGCTGTAAGTCAGCTCAGAGTGCAATTACCAGACTGGCACACCCCTTAACTGGGTAAGAGCAGGTCCACCCCTTCCAGGCTGGCTCTCCCATTACAGGCATAACTACTGATGCAAGTTGTGTCACTGGCACCTTTGCAGAGGTCATCTTTACACCTTCGGGGACCCTAAATGGGCCGACCAGCTCTCTTCCCATATTCCGGCCCAAAGCATGATTCCACCACCGCCTTGGAACGGGGTGGCCGTCCACCAACCATCCACTACTCCATCCATCTGGACCATCCAGGGTTGCACGGTACTCATCAGTGAACAGGACTGTTTGAAAATTAGTCTTCATGTATTTTTCTGCCCAATGCTGCCGTTTCTGCTTGTGAGCATTGGTTAGTGGTGGCCGAAAAGAAGGTTTATGCATAGACTCTACACCTTGGACTCTACACCTTGATGTCCGTGGGACTCCAGAGGCACTAGCAGCTTCAAATATCTGTTTGCTGCTATGTAATGGTATTTTAGCAGCTGCTCTCTTGATCCGATGCATGAATCTGGCAGAAATCTTACTCAATGTGCCTTTATCTGCACGAACCCGTCTGTGCTCTGAATCAGTCACAAAACTCTTAGTAGGGCGATGATCACGCTTAAGTTTTCGTGAAATATCTAATGTTTTCATACCTCGTCCAAGGCATTGAACTATTTCACTCTTTTCGGCAGCAGAGAGATCCTTTTTCTTCCCCATATTGCATGAAAATGGTGCTATGCTTAATAATGTGGAACACCCTCCTTTAGTAGTTTTTCCTTAAATTGGGCTCACCTGGTAATCTAATTATCACAGGTGTCCGAGATTGTTTTCAGTGATCAAAAGAGCCCTGAGACACAATGCCATCCATGAGTTAAACTGAAAAACAAAATATTTAATCTTTGTGACACTTACATAGAATTTGCATAATAATTCGGAACAGGGTGTAGACATAAATAACATACGTATATACAAATATAGATTGTATTTACAGCTCCTCCTTCCTCTGTCGGTCACTTGTCACTTAATCTGTGAATAAAAGCGACATTTAGTGTCGGTCATGTAGCCATCAATCACCTCCGTGGAAAACTAAATCACAAACGACCTGTTTATCGACAACCAATTCCGTTTATTTCGTGATTCGGTAATATACCGACTTGAAGAATTCAGACAAACTGACGATTGGCCAACGTTCTGAAGAATCACAGTTAGTTTGAAACAGAGTTCACTATTCTTATCACATACATAAAATGATTTACAAAAATAAGACCAGGAATTCATCTTCCTTGTAATCAATTGATATTTGGAATACATTGTGTTTTCCTATTTATTCCTACAGCCTAAAAGCAACTGTAGACATGTTCTGCGAGCACGTAATCTGCCTGAAAACTGCTAAGATATCTTTAATCCTCTTACCACCTACAAAGCTGGCATGGCTGGCCTGGGCACCGCCATCAAACGGGCAAAGTATTAAAGGGGAACCATCACTTAGTATTTAATTTTGTACTGTTTGTGAGATATGAACAATAAAATGAAGGACCATGAAGAGCCTTTGATGCTTAGTTGTGTAACTACTAATACTACATTATTACGTAGTAATACTATAAAGTGGTGTTATAAACCATGAGAGAGAGGCTGGCTCTACCACAATTATCAAAAACACTATTTCAGGTACAAACACTCAGTGCGCACACCAACTAAGCACAAACTAAAGGTAACATTGCATATCACTGCCTAAAAATTAAATGGCAGAAAAAAAGAATTAAAAAAGAACAATTAAAAAAAACAAAAAACAACACTTGTAAATGACAATAAATGTGGTGCAGAGAGAACAATAATGGCAAAAGTAGAATTGACATTAATGGAGCAAAATCAAGTAAAAGTTACAAAAACCACTGACTTTATCAATCTTGCAGAAAATATTGCAAAAAAAGAAGTAAAAAAAAAAAAACGTTCCTAAATCTGGCAGTATTTCTGTCTGTGATTTGCATGTGTGCCTTTACTGTGCCAGGACAGAACTGGATGGTGATACCGAGAATGTCAGTTACAGTTACTGGGGATTTCAGTTTTATTCCAGTGATGTGATTTCCACCGGAGGGACAGTACCCCTTTCACGTCTCTACCACTCACATCCTTCTAATAAAGTACGATAGGGCCGATTTGCTGCAATTTGTCTATTGCCTAGGAAGGAAGTACGTAGAGCTTTGGTGATTAGATCACAACTTAGCTACAAGATATCAGCAGAATGTGTCAAACACACGGAAATCTGAAAAACAGTACTACAATGCAATGCGCATACCACCAAAGCAATGCATCATGGTAGAGCATGGTTTATTGCATATATTGTGGGATAAAGCACCATTTAGAGAAATTACCTGGCTAAAGAAGATTACTGGTTAAACTGCTATAGCATTATTTGAATGCATTATTTTTGTTGCAGTGCATTATCTTGACTCTCCCCAAGTTAAAAGGGTAATCCAGATGGGGACCCAGTGCCTAGAGGGGTATCAGCTAGACCTTACTAATGAGGCCCAAAGAAGGCTGAAACGATCGTCTGGGGTTGCTGTATCTCTCGTGCAGAGAGAACTTGCCGGCATTTTGGTTCTGGACTGGCGTTATGGGTGAGATCAGTCTGATATGGAACTGGTTCTCTCAATACTGGCACAAGTGAGAAAAACCTATATTGAGAGCTGAGCAGGGATTTAGCGAAGGGCAAGCTACTGAGTTCCTCCACTTTTGTCCACTATCAGGGTTCTCCTAATCTCAATTTTTGTTGCAATTATTTTAATTGATGGCTAAAATATTGTATATGCGCAAATCAAGCCAGGTGGGTTTTGCTGACTGACAGGCCAACAGTACATCAATCTTAAACCTGCATGATGAAACAAAATTAAGTAAAACCCATATGTGCTATGTTTAAATGTTGCCCTGCAGAAGACAGTTAAAGGGACACTCCGGACCCCTAAAGCACTTTGGCTTTTTTACATCTTACAAAATGTCCAGATTTCAAGATGTTGGAAGCAGGAAAAATGGACAAGCGAAAAGATCTGAGTGACGTTGACAAGGGCCAAATAGTGATGGTTAGATGACTGGGTCGGAACATCTCTTAAACAGCAAGTCTTGTGGGGTGTTCCCGGTACGCAGTGGTTGGTACCTACCAAAAATGGTGCTTGAAAAGGAAAACCGATGAACTGGCGTCTGGATTATCGGCGCCCAAGGCTCATTGAAGCAGGTTGGGAACGAAGGCTAGTCCGTCACACAGAAGAGCTACTGTAGCTCAAATTGCTGAAAAACTTAATGGTGGCCATGAAAGGAAGGAGTTATAACACATCGCAGTGTGCATTCTAAACCACTACCAGGGCTCTATAGAATTATCATTTGTATTCTTACAATAGTGTTCCATTAGAGTGAGTAGGTTTCTTTAAATCTATTGTGTCGCTAGTGATTAAAAGATCGCTTCTGTAAAGATTGTGTTTATGCTAGAATTTAACTTGAGTTTGATAGGACCCCTAATCCAGCCGTATCACCTCACCTCAATGATGTTCTATTATATTTTATTAATTCATATTTTATTCTATTTCTGGAGTTAGTGAACTAGGCAGGAATGAGGTGGGAATAATGTGACCCATGCATTGAGATTTCTTGTGGAGCTCATTTCTGAATATATATCATTCACTCTGATTATTTAATCCGCTTGTAACATTTTACTGTTGGCAAACGTTCGTTTACCTGGACAAAGAATGAGACAGAGATTTGGACTAGTAATTTATCTCGACTTTCCCATTTTGTAGTTACAGAATAATATAGCAGATTTTCACTTATGCCTTAAAAGTAACATACAAAATATAACAGAGACAAGAGGTGAAGGCCCTGTTCAAATGAGCTTACAATCTAAGAGATGCTGCCCACACGCTGTTTAACTCCTCTGCAGCCAGAAGTATAACTCCATGTGGCGAAACCGGCCTCGCCACGTGTCCTTGGAGGGGGCTGCTTGCCCGCCTCTTGCCTTTGGACTATGGTCCAGACTTTATGTGAATGTGTTAACCCAGATAGCTATGCCATGGAGCCCATTCGTGTAGTTAAAGACTTCGGCTCCATGGCAATTGAACTGTGTGAATAGGATCTGAGCGCTATTCGGTAGTTTTGTGCGCTCAGATCCCAGCTATCTGGGGATATGTGAAATGTCTGTGTGTTATGTGTAAAAGGTGACTTTATGTATTTTAAAGTGTTTTATGTCTTTTTGCAACCATGTGCTCAATGGAGTCTGCCTCTATCCCTGGATAATTGGATTACTTTCCCCCATTGTCTCCAGGATAGAGGGCTCTGTAAAACCTGTTTGAGCCAGATAGCCATGTGCCAGCCAGGGCCCAAAATATACTTTTACTAACTTTTGAACCCCTGGTCGGATTCATGCCATTTTTTAATATGTTGTTCCCCTGAATGGATTGATTGTGAATATGTAATTTTATGTGAATGTGATGTATGGTTTTAGAGTTATGAAAGTTGGGTAGAAAGTATGTTTTAACTGTATGTGTAATTGAGTTTCCTCTCAGGATAAGGGGAGGGAATATGTGGGATGTAACTGATATGTGATTGGTTGTTTTATACCTCCCTGTGGGTGGTCCTGTATGTGAAAGGCTGTAATAAAAACCAG